AGCCCCCAGCTCAGGGCCAGGACCACTTGGAGCGACCCTCTTCCGGCCCCTTCAGGATGAGTGGCAGAGTAGTCTGAGGAAGAGAGGGCACCCCCGCGCGCGCGCGCGCACAGCACCAAGCTCGACATGCCCCCAGCCTCAGCCCGGCACCACTCACCCTGGCAGTCTTGGGCAAGCTGGCTAGTAGGCAGACCTGCAGTTCAGGAGGCTGGGAGCCCCACAATAAGCTCAGCAACCTGGCCACAAGCCTGCTCACAGGCTCCCCTGGGAGGCACGCGAACTCGTTGGTATGGAATCGGCAAAGAGTGCTCCCCTGGGAGGACTCTAGGCGCCAGGAAGGCAGCCGTTCTACAGCCCGGAACCTCAGAGAGCACCTGCCCGCCCCTTCCATCCCGCAGCACGACCCCCCACCCAGCCCCTGTACTCTTGGGACCCCCTCAACACGCTCCCCGCCAGGTGCAAAGACGTGCTCACTTGGAAACCTTCTTCCCCTCCCATGGTGCCTCTGTGTGCGATCACCTTTGCTGCTGTGCTGCGAGGCCAGAGACACCACCCCTGTGTCTCCGAGTCCACCGGGGGGCGGCCCAGCAGTGGGACTTCACATGTGCCCACCTGCCTTCCCTTTTAGGGCCAGATGGTTGCTCTCTAGGGAAACCTTGCCTTGTACCAAACCTCCACGCTTTCTGCTAGAGCAGCGGTTTTCAACCTGTGGGTCACCACCCCTCTGGGGGTCGAACGACCCTTTCACAGGTGCCGCTCGATTCATAACAGTAGCAAAATGATAGTGATGAAGTAGCAATGACAATAATGTTATGGCTGGGAGTCACCCCCACATGAGGACCTGTCTGAAAGGCTCGTGGCATTGGGAAGGTGGAGAACCACTGGGCTAGAGCCTCCACCCACTCCGCCCTCTCTGGCTTCAGATCAGATGCAATAAAAGCCAGAATCTAAAATGCCTCTGCCCTTCACCCTCAGGGCCTGCCACTTAAATTCAGGAATCACCTGTCACGTGACGGGCCCTTCCCGACAGATCACGGAGGCCTGTGCAGCCAGGTGTCACCAGAAGAGCATGCCCCCTTAGGCTTGGACAAAGCTGGTGCCCTTCCTGCCCTCCACCCCATGGGTCCCAGCTGTGGCATGTCCATCTACAAAGGCTTTCAACAAGGCAGTCCATCAGAAGGTCAAAGGCAACCTCCAGGGCACACCCACCATTCGCCGGGGCCCCGCCCCCTGCCAGTCCTCCTAAGGCCCGGATTTGCTGGCTCCTCCTAAGATGTGCCCCGGGTCCCCAGAAAGGGGTTCAGGAGACCAGACACAGCCCCATCCCCCTGGAGGGGCCTTGGAAGTTATAGGTAGAGGGCCATATGAGTGATCTCTAAATCAGAACATTGTTAATGTATTGAAATATAACAAACAAACAAAAACACCACCAAATTCATTGCCAACCAGTTAATTCCCACTTAGAGCAGCCCTGCAGGGCTAAATTGAACTGCCCCATTGGGTTTCCAAAGCTGTCATCTTAACGGAGGCTGACTGCCTCCTCCTTCTCCCATGGAGAGGTTCATGGGTTCAATTCACACACTTAGCCACTGTACCTACCACCAGGGAAGGGGCACTATGAGGGATGCCAGGAAATCAGGGACAGGCCAGGAGGTTTCTTTCATGGCACTCTTAAGTCACAGGGCACACAGCCATTGACGCCCCACCCCTCTAAGAATGGAGCCCGGCCCTCTGAACCAAGGGTCCTCCAAC